GACTTCCTGCCGTGCTAGATGGCCACGCTCCTCCCCCTGACTAGAAAGCCGCTCTGTGAGGCTTCTCTCCCTCCTGGTACAGGTGACGTTTAAGTTGTGAGGATAGATGTCTCCCCTGAAGGGACTTCCTGAGGCTTTTCACCATTTGAATAAAAAATACCTGACCTGAGACATTTTTATCTTAACTTGGCCTTTACGAAAAAGGAAAAAAAAGTCACCGCACACCCCGCTGGGAGCTGACAAACATCGGCTGTGTCTGGGGACATTATGGGTAAATTACTGGTGGGGGGGTGCAGCTGCCCAGCCCCCTACAAAGCCAGACACTTCCCAGGGGCTAAGACAACAGGGACCCCACTGCCATAGTGCTGAGCCAGGCTGTGAGGCCTGCTCTGGAAGCGTCTGGCTTCTCTCACGGATCAAAGACCTGCAGCACTTGGGTCTTGCCCTCCCTCGAGCCAGCGGTTGTGTTGATCTGCGCTGGCATCCTGCGCATCCAGACGCATCCAGACGGGGCAGATGAACCCCTGGACGGGGGTTGCAGGCCTGGGTCTGGGAGAAGACTTCAGGGTGGGCCCCAGCCCTGCTCCCTCCCAGGTCTCGGGAGGGCTCCCCTGCAGGCCCCGGGGTCAGAAGTACCTGAGCTGCTGCCGGCAGGCCTCTTGCGGCAGGTGGACTCCCTCCTCGCTGTGACTGATGGGCACTTGGGGTCCAGCTGGCGGCCCGCCCTGGAGACGGAGGCGGCCCCTGCCCGCTCGCCCCCCCGAATAGCTGTGGGCTCAGCACATGTGTGTCCCAGCTTTGTTTATTTTCGGATCTGTTTTTGTCCTGTTGTGTGTTTTGTACTCCTGCAAGCTGCCTCCAGTCCCTTTGGGAGCAAAGCGGGCCGTAAAAGCAGAGCCACCCGGGCCCGGCCCCGCACCATGGCCTGGCACTCCTGACCGCCAGTGCTGTGAGGCCGGTGTCCTGCTGCGGCAGCGGCTATTCCGGCTATTCCAGGCTTCTCTGCCCTTCCTGGAGACTCGCTCTCGGAGACCAGCAGCCCGGGGGGTAGAGCAACAGGTTTTAGAGGCAAAACCACCAACATCCATCTGCCCGCAGACTCCTCTCCCTCCCGGTTCTTTCCAGCCTCCCAGCTGGCTGTTGGCGGGAAGCCACAGGGCCGGGAGATGGCAAGTGGAGTAGCTGCACAGGTTCTCCGTTTTCACTCTAACCGGGATTATTCCTGCAGCATGAAAGAGGCCTTCAGGGTCCAGGGATTTGTGTGCAGGCTGCTGGACAGGGCGAGAGGGCCGGCCAGGAGGGGCCTAGGCCTGGGAGTGGGCAAGCCCAGCCGGCGCCTACACTCCAAAGGTCCGCCCACCCAGGCGCCCCTCCCTCGGCTGCCTCCGAGTCCCCAGTTCAGCAGGCCACAGGCCTGAGGCTGCCGGCTTGAGAGGCCAAGGCTTCCACGGAGGCTGAGGCCAGCCCGGCTGACCTGTGGTGGGCAGGCCTTGCTCGCCTCACGCACTTGACCTTTGCACCACCTGGCGGGTCCTTTGGTTGCTGTGAATCAGCAGCAGCTGCTGGCAGGGACCTGGAGCTGCCGGCGCGTCCACTCTGGGCCTTCGGCAGGCCTCTCTCTGGGCTGCTCACCCAGCCGGTCACTGCCCCACCTGGTCAGTCCATCTCCCGGCGTGAGGACTTGGGAGCGAGAGCATGTGTCTGAGCCTCCGTTTTTAATCTCCGTTTTAAGCTAAGAAGGGGGTTTACGCTGACACTGGGGGTCACGACCCCCTCGGGTGTCTGCATGTGCTGGGCCTCGCTGGCCAGCACCCCGTCTCTCCAAGTCGGCTCCCCACAGGGCCGCGCCTACTCCCATACTTGGAGTTGCCTCCATGTCCTCATCTGTAAAATGGGGCGGCGTCAGTGGCACCCTCAGGTTCTCAGGACAGCTAGATGAGGTTGGCAGCGAGAAGAGCGCCTGGAAGACGGCAGCCCCAACACACGGGGCCACACGCAGCCCTGGCAGGACAGTCGGGGCCCTCTGAGCCTGAGGGGTGTAAGCTGAGCCCCGGCCGAGACAGGACTCCTGAGCCGGGAGTCACCCGGTGGATGCTGGCCCTGGGCGGCTGGGGCAGACGCATCTGGAGGCCGTAACTGCTGCCCACCTGGGATAGGCAGCTTTGGGGTCCACCTGTCTGGAAACCTTAGCTGCAATCTGAATTAAAATAACCTCCTTGACGCCCAGGAGTGGTAGCGGTTCCTGGCTCCAGTTTGAGCTGTCAGAGGTGGAGGGGCCCTCCCTCGGGGCTGCCGAAAGGTGACACCCTGGGTTTCTCAGGTGAGCCTGAGCCCAAAAGGGAAAGAGCATAGAACCCCCAAGCCCAAGCCACCCAGGGGGCTGGCTTGTGTCTGTGCACGAAGCCAACAGAGGACCTCACTGCAAACGCGGCTCCTGGGGAGAGTGCGCTGGTCTCAGCTGGGCACTCTGAGGCTGCCCAGGGTGGACTTAGTGGGGCAAGGCCACACAGCCAGCCAAGGTCAGCGCCTGCTGGCTCGGCCCACTGGTCCGTTTACCCCATTCTGGACCAGCAGGCCCATTCAGCTGGCGTTCTGGGTCCAGCCCGGTCTCCCCACAGGCCCGGGCCCTCAGTGGCTGGTGGTTTTCCGTCAAGAGTCCTGGACGCTGCAATACCAGTGCGTGGCTGTGGCTGCCGTGGGGGCTTATGCTGAGACCTGGCGGCGCAGCCCGCCAGTCTGCATCTGCTGGGCCTCGCTGGCCCGCGCCCCCTCTCTGCAATCCAGCTAGAACGCGGCTCCTAGGCACCCACCCTGCTGCTGGGCTGTGCCATTCAGTCCACCCCTTCCCCCAGGGACACCCACCGCCTGCTCTTAATTCAGCCCCGCCACACCCCAGGGAGACCTGGGTGACATTTTGATTATGACTCTCAATATTATGCAGGGAGACCGGACCCACGGTCGCGAGATGGGGGGACAGGGGCGGCTTCGGCTCATGGAGAGCTGGTGTGTTCTTGTAGGTGCCTGTGGAGGGGGGAAGGTGGGGAGGCTGGGGCTGGGCCAGCTGGGGGAGGAGTCCCAAAACCCGTTCTCATTTTCCCAAGTGCTAGAGCTTAGAGAAAACTGGTAATGGTGAGAAGAGGGCTTGGAATCGCCATTCTGATGCCGTAGGAGAAGGTGACCGCTGGGCCGTCTCAGGGGACCGTGGGGGTGGGGAGGGCACAGCCTGGAAGCTAAGGCTGCAGGACAAGTGAACTAGAGCAGGGAGGGGCCCTTTCTGGCCTGTCCCCATTCTGGTGGCGCCAGCCCTGCTGGCCCTGGGGGAGGGCCCCTTCTTTGTGATGACAGCTTTGGGAACCGGTCTGCACCCCAGCTCTGGAGAAGCAGCCGCAGCCCCACTGTGCAGATAACAGGCTCCAAGCAGCTGAGTGACTAAGCGCAGGCTCCCCACTGACAGGCAGCCATTAGGGTGACTTGTCCTGGGACAGGAGGGGGAGGGCCCCCAAGGGGCAGAGAGAAGCTGCCTCTGGACCCCAAGGCAGGGGACAGCAGCCCCAGGAGCCTCTGTACCCTCACCCTTCCCCCCCATTCTGGAAAAGCCAGAGATGGACACAGGTGTGCTGCAGAGCTTTTTAATGGTTCCTTGCTGTTTTAACAATATCATGAAAAAAATATACAGTTTAGAATCTGGGACTGGCCATTGTCTGGATGGGTCTCAAGGCAGCAGATGGGGCCACCCCACCCTTCCCCGTCCTCCCCCCGCCAAGGGAGATAGGCTACTGGAAGCTACTGGAACCAGAGCACCAAGGGACGCTGGGATCAGGGACTAAGTCAGGGTCTCAGTCAGGTCAGGATCCAGCAAAGGAGGGGAGGAGTGGGGTGGGGTGGGCAGCTGCATCCACCCGGGGCTGGGCTGGGGCTGCCCCGGGAGGGAGGGTGGGTCTGCCCGTCCCCAGGACAGAAAAACCTTCAGCAGCCCTGGCGTTCACACCCAAGCTTCTTCTCAACCCCCTAGGACAGAGAGGAATCTGACTTCCAGAAAGACAAATCTCCCTTAAGCATTCATACGCTCCAAACATAGCAGAGAGCACACACACACTATCCCACTATCCGCTGGATACCTGAAATCCTAATTTCACTGGCATTCTGGTTGTTTTGTTGCTAAATCTGGCAATCCTATGCCCGCGGGGCCTGGCCTCAGAAGTGGGGGAGGGTGGCTCAAGCTGGCAGAGGCCTGAGAAAGGAAGGGGAAGTAGCAGGATGGGGGTGGGAGGAAACACTGGGTCAGAAAGGAGCTTTTACTCCCTCCCCCTGGAACGATATATTATTTGTTAAAAAACTATTTTCCAGAAATTTCTACAATGGCCACCTTCAGCTGTTAACATCTGGCGGGGGGAGGGGGTTAGACAAGTGCACACAGACACCCCATATGGTTCTAAATAAAGTGTGGCAGCCTAGTCCTCGCTGCGCTGGGGTCTCCTCCTCGGATGAAGTGTGCTAAGTATTCACTGTGAATCTTCCAGGGGAGACTTCTATTCAGGTCTCCTACACAGGCCTCCTTCCCTTCTGGCTCCTGGCTTCTGGTGGCCGAATTGCTAACTCTGTTCCTGATGCTGCTCTAGAAGGATCTAAACACAACAGGTGAGAACGAACAGCCCCGGGCCCAGCTTGTGCCCAGGCCTGCTCCTAGCCCCTTCTGGACCTTTCCGTGTCCGGTCCTTCTCACCCCGAAAGGGGCTGCACTGAGTGTACAAATCCTCAGTCGGGTTTACTCCGAGGGCTCCAGGCTGCTGGTGTGGGGGCCAGGTGTGTGGGGGGGCTGTGACACCCCCTTTCCCCAGCAGTGCTGCCAGGCAGCGCTCAAGGCCAGGAGGGGCCAGGAGGGACGTGGCCTCCCTGGCTGCCCCGGGGCTGACCTGCTACTGCTGCATGGGCCAAGAACTCAGGTTGGCATCTGGCCTCCATTTGAGGTCAGGGCGGAGAAAATGGGCCTGGAAGAGGAAAACTGGTTTCTGCTGTGAGAACACCGCCCGTCTGGAGGGCCCGGGACGGCAGGGGGTGCGGTGAAGCCAGGCACCCATCTGGCACGCCTGCCAGCTCCCCAGGCCCTTCAAGGCCCTCCGGCTAGGCCAACGCCCCTCCTGCGTGAGGTCCAGGGTCCTGCCCACCAGGCTCTTGGCTGCCCCCACTGCAGGGGGCAGGGGCCGTGGGCTGAGCCGGGCGGTGAGGCCAAGAGCGTGGGGCTCCCGAGGGCCTCACACTCGGATCTCGTCCTCTTCCTCCTCATCCATGAAGGAGAATTCCTTGTCAGGCTGCCTGGGGAGAGTGGCCCGGGCGCTGTCCGGCCCCCGGAAGGCGGGGCTGCGCTCCTCCAGCACCCCCGAGGTGCAGCTGGAGAGGGAGCTGCTATCCCGCGTGGTGTGGCTGCCCACGCTGCGGGCCGAGCCGGGGCTGGGGGCCGCTGCTGCCCAGCCCTCGTCCTGCAGAGCCTGGGAGGGCGGCGGGGCCAAGTCGGGCCCCGCCCTGCCTTCCTGCGGGGCCAGGGCAGGGACGGAGGCCAGGGGCGGCCGCTGGGTGAGACTGCCCGCTGGGTCCTCGTCTCCATGGTAACCGCCACCCTCCTCCTCCTCCGGCTCCCACTCCTCCTTGTCCATGATGCTTAGGACGTCGCCCAGCATGGAGGGCCCCAGGTCGATGTGGAAGGACATGATGGACTCAGCGTGCTTCAGCCCGTAGCCAGGCGCCTTCTGCACGACGGGCAGATCCGTCAGGGCCCCGAAGGCCTGCTCGTCCAGGAGGGGGTCCGGGGAGTGGGGGCCGGTGGCCCCGTTGCGCCGGGGTGCAGGCGCCTCGCCCACACCCTCGTCCTCAGCACCGCCCTCCCCACCACTGGCCTGCTTCACGGGGCTGGACGACAGACTCTTGGGCAGCTGGCCGGGGCCCTTCTCGGAGGCCTCCTTCTCGTTGAGCTGCGGCAGGGACATGGCATTCTTGACGAACAGGGCCGAGTCCCGCAGGGAGCCCAGCATGTCCCGCTGCTCCCGGTCGCCTCTGGTCACCGACTGTGACCGCTTGCTGCCGCGGAACTTCCGGGACAGGAGGCTGCGCTTGGAGGAGGAAGAGGCCGAGGGCTGCTCTTCCAGGGACTCGCCGTCCAGCTCGCCAGCCTTGCTGTTGAGGAAGGAGGTGTCCCCGAAGGCGTCGCCGCCTCGGCCCACGTGCATGGTGTGGCGGAAGTCCCCCAGCGGGGCGCTGATCATCTCCGCCGTGAGGTCCACTCGGGAACGGCGCTTGGAGGGCACCGAGCTGGACACCAGCTGCTTAAGGATCGGCATCTTGTCTGGCGGAAGGGGTGGGGGCAGGACCCCGAGGCAGCTGGCAGGTCGGCGGGGGTCAAATCGGAAGCGATGGCCAGCGGATCACAGGGCTGCAAGAGAACAGCAGCAAGGGTCAGCCAGCAGCGAGCCCCCCTGCCCCGGGCTGTTGTTCAAAACAATCCGCCAGTGGTCAATGTCACAACCTGCCGGTTTCCTCACCCACAGGTTTTCAGGCTAGGGGAGTGACTTTTGCTGATGGGGTGCAAGCAGCCCCAGACGCTCTCCCTGAAACTTGAGGGGTGACCTTTCTCAAGGTGCCCCAAAAAAGGGCGTCACACAGCACTTCCATGGCCCAGAGCCTGGGCTGTGACTCGGGGGGCAGTCACACGCTTCCTGCCGGCTGACCTCAATCCCTGCCACGCGCGGGAACACCTCAACTTGAGTCATGGTGCTCAGGAGGGACAGGCAGGCCCCAGAGGCCGCCCAGCTGGCGTTCTGATTCAGCATTGGGCGGGGCTGCCGGGACCCACAGAACCAGCTCCCCGGCCTTCCGTCCTCGTTGGCTGTCCCATAAACGGGGACCCGCCTGGCCACCACCCGGGCCCTGGCTCTTGGCGGAGGACGCCTTCCCTGCGTCCAGTGTGGATGACCAGCCTAGAGCCCAGCAGAGCGGGGCTCTGGCCATGCAGCTCCCAGCATGGGTCGAGATGAAGTGCGGAGCTGAGACCCCGCCAGCAGTCGGAGGGGTCTGGTGCCAGTGCCGAGCGGGAGCTTAGGACTGAGCAGGGTGGCGGGAGCGGAGTCGGGGTTTAACAGAGGAAGGCGGGCAGGGCTGGGCCCGGGCACCAGGGCCGGCGTGCCTCCCACTGCTGTTCATAGCACAGTCCCAAGGCGCCCTCACTGCAAGGCTCACTCCCGTGCAAGCATCAGCCACCTCCAGCCACCTCGCCCCCTGCCGAGGCGCGACATGAGTCCCCAGGCCCCCCTTTGCTCCCCTATTGCCTCATCCTTCACCTTGTAGCCAAAACAAAAGTCACCGCATGCTCCTCAGTCCAAACCCTCGGCCCAGTGGCCAGCGCCTGCCTCCTCCTCATGTGCGGCTCGCAGCTCCCCTGTGCACGTGCCTGCCCCGTCCGAGCTTGTCCCCTGGGCTCTACGGACACACGTCCTTGGCCAGGGTGAGTCCTCCCTGCCTCCTCCCAGCCGCATAACCTGCTGGCTGGCCCGTCATCTCCCCACTGGACTAGGAGCTTCCGGAGGTCCCAGCGGCCTGCTAAGCACTGACCCCAGCCAGCTGCTCACAGCCCACGGGGCCTCAGACACCTGCTGCGAGGCCTGCACGGCCCCCCGCCCCCGCCGAGGGTCACCCCCTCTGCTGCCAGCCCACAGGCCGGCCTCCAGGCTTGTCCTCCCAGTGTCCTGGGCCCCATGTCCAGCGGCCAGTCTGACGGCACCCCGGTCAGCAAGTGCCCCCACCCAGTGGTTAGCTGAACTGCTCATCACTCCAGCAAACAGAGAACTTCCTGGAAGGCCTTAGGTGGCCGACTGCCGTCAGCCACCCTCCTCACTCTCCTCCTTCTCCCCTAACCCTAACCTGAGCCCTCCATCTAATCTCTAACAGACAGTGAGCTCCCGGCTCAGGGGTTGGGCAAGTGGGTTCCACAGAGGGCCAGAGAGTGAAGACTTGGCTTTGTGGGCAAAGATGCCGTCTCTGGCAGAGGCTCAGCCCTGCCTGGGAGTAAGAACATGGTGGTAAACTCTGTAGCTGACAGTGTGGCCATGGCCAGTGCAGCTCTATTGACACAAACGAGCGGTGGGCCAGCTCTGGCCTGAGGGCCGCGGCTAGGTCCGAGGGCCCTGCCCACGCACTGCTCCAGGAAGGACTTGCCACCTGCGATCTCCAGGCCAGCCAAGGGGGGCCAGGCCAATCTGGGCTGGGGTGTTCTATTTGGCTAAAAAATAGAAAGGGAAGGTGGAGTTGCTGGAACACACCCGGCACTGGCAGGAATCAGATTCAAATCAACCGTCAGTGAGAGCGCCTCGGGCTCCTGCTGCTGCAGGGCATGACACAGACAGAGCCCGGTGCCCTGTTCTCAGCTGCCCACAGGCCCCTGCTGGCTGGCCCCTGGCCCCGGGATCTCAGGGAGACAGGAGAGAAGGGCCTACCTGGGGGGCCCAAGAGGACAGGCCGGCAGGACACGGCGTCTCCAGGGGTATGCCCCAGAGGGCAGAGCCAGGCCCGAAGCCTTGGGGGGCGGCACACTGGTCAGGCACCTTCACCACTGGACTAGCCCTCCCTGCCAGAGCAAACGGCACTGCTCCCCTCAGGAGGCGGTCCCTAGCCCGCTGACACATGAGCCGGTCTCCTGGTGCCGGGCAGGATCGCTGGCCTTTGCCAAAATGTCCCCAGACGGGCTCGCAGCACCCTGGGATAAGGACACGCGTGGAAATAAAGCGTGTGCCACATGCCAGGTAAGGGAGGGAAACAAAAGGGGCGGGCTGGGCAGGGAGGGACGAGAGGGGCCGGCACTGTGGGACCCTCACGTGACGCAGGGGTCCGGGCAATGGCAGGAATCCCGGCCCCCGCAAGCATCTCAAGGGCTGTGTTTCCCTGACGTGCGGGCAGAGGAGACGGGAGCCACAGGCCTGGCTGCCCAGGGCTCAGCAGAGATGGCCTGGGGCCCTGGACACTGGCCGGGGAGGAAGGGACCCACCTGCCCCAGACCCCCTCTGGCACATCCACACGGGTGAAGCTACAGGGTGCCAGAGGGGTCAGTGGGGACAGCTGCAACCTGTGTGTGGCACTGGCCCACCCCAGGCCACCCGTACCCCGCACGGGCCCAACAGCCAGAAAAGACAGAGGGGGTCCGTGAAGCCATCTGCTGCCTCTGGCCTTCTCCTTGGGGGTAGGAACAGGGCTTTGTGACTCATTCAACATCTGGCGGGCAGAAGTCCCAGGGAGCTGGATGGAGTCACCCACTGGTCACCCTGTCTCATCAGAGGTCCTGAGGGTGTGGGGGTCCTCTGGAGCTCAGACTGGACGGACAAACAAGAGCTCACTCATGGGTGACTTGGGTCCTGGACTTCATGGTTCCTCCGTGATGTCAAGTCACCCGAAGTGTCTGACGGGGAACGGTCTGGGGGCGAGGCAATGGAACCAGGAGCGTAAGCATGAGCAGGCGGCCTGGGCCAACCTGGGGGGCAGGTGGGGAGCCCTGTGTGCCCCTGGAAGGGGATCATGCCTAGGGAGCACGATGGCTTTGGAGGTGGTGGTGGGGGTTTTGCTAAGGACCATGACTCAACTCTGCACAAGTTGACTAAAATAGACTTCGGCCACTCCCCTTAGCCTGCCCAGGGCTGGAACCCCCACCCCGCCCCCCCCCACCACCCCACCCCGGAAGCCACTTCCCACTCTCCTGGCAGGGCAAAGTTGGAGCAGCAACTGTCTCTCCCTGACCCTCCCAGCCTCTGGCGAAACCAGCTTCCTCTGCCTTGGCCCCCTGACCACAGAACATTCCTCTAAGCACTGCGGCAGGGTTTACACTAACCACACCCTGGGCTCAGCTCTACCCTGGGGAACCCTCCATGCGTGGACTGTCCAGCCCGTCAGCTCCCAGGGGCGCAGGGGTTGAGCCGTGCTCCAGAGGCCCGGTGGACTGGACCCAGGCACAGGACAGGCCCGAGCCCCTGCGGCAGCCCGGCAGACCCCCAGCTGACCAGGGCACAGAGCACACAAGCTTCAACCCCCACTGCACGGGGCAGCTGCTTCACAGTTCTCCCGGGGCTGTGCCAGCCAACCACCGACACCAGCCTGCGGAGGGCTTCTGGCCCTCGGGACCTCGGTGGGGCTCGGATGGTCTCCACGGGCTCCGTTCCCCCCACTTCCCCCCTCCCCCCCCGCCCGCCTCTCATTGGCTTCCTGCACACCCACTCACTCCCAGGCCCTGGAGTCAGACCAGTGAAAATAACAGGGTGGACAGGTCCCTGCCTTCCCAGGGCACGGAGAGCGATGGGTGGGGGCCGGGCTGTAAACAGGCACATAAAACCCTCTCTGAGGCGATGCGAGCAAGTGTGGGAGTTACGGGGGCTGAAGAGGCTCCCCGAGGAAGGGGCTATGCCAGCTGGGAACAGACGATGAGAAGGATCCAGCCCGTCCAGAACATTCTAGCAGAGGGCACGTGCCAAGGCCCAGAGCAAAATAGACTGAAAGCCGGGCCCTCCCTGGTGGTGCAATGGGTTAAAGCGCAGCACTGTGCAGTGCTGCACGAGTTCGATCCCCAGTCAGGGAGAGACCCACAGGGCGCAGCAGGCCCTCCTGTCTCCCACTGCTCGCTTCAAGCAGGGTGTTTCAGTTGACCTGCCTGTTCTGCTCCCCACTCTGTCTCTGGTGAACTCTCTCACCACCCCCGCACCTCTGGCCTGTGCCCCACTTCTGTATGCATAAATCAATAAATCTTAAAAAAAAAAAAAAAAAAAAGAATGAAAGCCAGTGCCAGGAGCCGGGTCACCAGAGCCTCCCGGGGAGACTGGCGGGAGCGTGGAGGGTGTCCCGGTGAGGGGAGCCTGGGTTCCTGGTGGCACGAGTCCCGGCTGAACTGTGCAGGCCCCCAAGGCCGGTCCCGGAGCAAGGGAAGGGGGCGGCATTCAGTCTGGGGGCCAGGAGGTGGGGGCGGCTAAGGAGATGGACAGAAGGGCATGTTAGGGGCTCCCCTGGGACACAGAGACCCGAGGAGCAGCTGCCGGTCCCGACGGGGCATGAGACAAAGTGCGGAATCAAAGGAGAACCTCTTCCAGCTCCAGGCATCTGCGCAGCGCTGCTCAGGGGAGACGGCCTCTCTCCCAGGGGTGTGGCCAACATTCCACCAGTAGGTAGAGCTGAGCTTTGCCAACCTGGGGGTGGCATTCTGCTCCGCAAGTCTGCCAGCTAGCACAACAGGGAGGGGGTTGTGCAAGAAACGCAGAGCAATGCGGTCACACCTCTCTGGAAGAGGTGAGAGGCTTTTGTCCAGAGAGAAAGATCCAGTGCTTTCTGGAACAGCACCAGCCTTAACCTGCAAGATAAGCAGGCCCAGCAAGCGCCGAGGACTTTCACTTAGTTGACAGCAGCTAA